ACCCAGCAAGTGCACTACTAGGCATTTATCCACGGGATACAGGTGTGTTGTTTCAAAGGGACACATGCACCCCCATGTTTATAGCAGCACTATCAACAACAGCCAAGTATGGAAAGAGCCCACATATCCATCGAAGGATGAATGGATAAAGAAGATGTGGTACATATATATATACAATGGAGTATTACTCGGCAATCAAAAAGAAGGAAATCTTGCCATTTGCAACTACGTGGATGGAACTGGAGGGTATTATGCTAAGTGAAATTGTCAGAGAAAGACAAAAATCATATGACTTCATTCATATGAGGACTTTAAGAGACAAAACAGACGAACATAAGGGAAGGGAAACAAAAATAATATAAAAACAGGGAGGGGGACAAAACAGAAGAGACTCATAAATATGGAGAACTGAGGGTTACAGGAGGGATTGTAGGAGAGGGGATGGGCTAAATGGGTAAGGGGCACTAAGGAATCCACTCCTGAAATCAGTGTTTCACTATATGCTAACTAATTTGGATGTAAATTTTTAAAAATAAAAAATAAAATTAAAAAAAAAGATTCTAAAATTTATACGGAAAAAGAAAGGAACGAGAATAGCTAAAACAATTTTGAAAAGAAAGAATGAAATGGGATGAATCAGTCTACCCAATTTGAAGACTTATTAGACAGCTCTAGTAACCAAGACTGGGTAGTACTGGTTGAGAGGCAGATACATGTATCAGTGAAACACAACAGAGAACCCAGAACTAAAGGCACACAAATATGCCCAACTCATTTTTTAAAAAAAGGTATAAAAGCAATTCAGTAAAATATAGCCTTTCCAACAAATGGTGCTGGAGAAATTGCACATGTATAATAAGTGAACCTCAACCCAAGCTTTACACAAAAATCAACTCACAAGAGATCATGAGTTTAAATGTAAAACATAAATTTATAAAACTTTTAGGAAAAATATAGAAAATATTTAGGATCTAGGGCTAGGCAAAGAGTTAAAAACTCAATACCAGAAGTACAATTTATAAATTGGAATACTGGACTTCACCAAAATTAAAATATTTTGCCTTGTAAAAGATCCATTTAAAACAATGAACAGACAAGTTTCACACTGAAAGAAAATAGTTGCAGAACAGGTATCTGACAAAGGGCTAGTACCCAGAATATATAAGGGACTCTCACAGCAAAACTAAAAGGCTACCAATATGGGAGAAGATACTTGCAAATGACATATTAGATAAAGGGTTAGTATCCAAAATCTATAAAGAACTTAACAAACATCCAAAAAACAAATAACCCAGTGAAGAAATGGGCAAAAGACATGACACTTTTCCAAAGAAGACATCCAGATGGCCAACTGACACATGAAAAAATGCTTCACATCACTCATCATCAGGGAAATACAAATCAAAACCACAATGAGATACCACCTCACACCTGTCAGAATGGAGAACATTAACAACTCAGGCAACGACAGATGTTGGCGAGGATGCGGAGAAAGAGAATCTCTTTTGCACTGCTGGTGGGAATGCAAACTGGTGCAGTCACTCTAGAAAACAGTATGGAGGTTCCTCAAAAAATTAAAAATAGAATGACCCTATGACCCAGCAATTGCACTACTAGGTATTTATCCAAGGGATACAGGTACGCTGTTTTGAAAGGGCACATGCACCCCCATGTTTATAGCAGCACTATCGACAACAGCCAGAGTATGGAAAGAGCCCAAATGTCCAGCGACAGATGAATGGATACAGAAGATGTGGTATATATATACAATGGAGTATTAGTCAGCAATCAAAAAGAATGAAAACCTGCCATTTGTAATACCAAGAATAAAATTAGAGTATATTATCCTAAGCCAAATTAGTCAGAGAAAGACAAATATCATAGGACTTCACTCATATGTGGAATTTAAGACACAAAACAGATGAACAGAAGGGAAGGGAAGCAAAAATTATATAAAAACGGGGTGGGGGGGATAAAACATAAGAGACTCTTAAAAATAGAGAACAAACTCAGGGTTGCTGGAGGGCGTGTGGGTGGGGGGACGGATTAAATGGGCAAAGGGCATTAAGGAGGGCACCTGCTAGGATGAGCACTGGGTGTTCTATGTAGGGGATGAACCACTGGATTCTACTCCTGAAACCATTATATGCTAATTTGGATGTAAATTTAAAATAATAATAAAATAATAATAAAGAACTCTCAAACCCCAACGGTAGAAGGACAACCCATTTTGACAACAGGCAAAAGACCTGAAGAGAAACACTGTGGGGCGCCTGGGTGGCTCAGTTGGTTAAGTGTACAACTTCAGCTCAGGTCACGAGCTCACTCACAGTCCATAGGTTCAAGCCCCAAGTCAGGTTCTGTGCTAAGAGCTTGAGGCCTAGAGCCTGCTTTGGACTCTGTGTCTCCCTCTCTCTCTGTCCGTCCCCCACCTCTCAAAAATAAACATTTTTTAAAAAATCAAAAAAAAATGCACTAAAGAGCACGTGTCTGTGCTTGTATTTCCTTTCCTCTAGTCATTTGTACAGCTACTATTTAGAACAGACCAGCTCAATATAGAAAGATTGTCAGAATATACTGACTGCTGAAAAGAACAGATTACTTTATGATTCCACTTTTGGCAAAAAAAAAAAAAAAAAGTCATGTATATGGAAAAGGATATTCCGTGGGATTAACAGATCTCAGGAAGAGTAGGAATGTGAGTTTGAGGGGTTTTTACTTATTCTATTTTCTGATTTTCTAAAATGAATATGTAATAAAAGATTTTAAATAGGATAAAAGTCTATTCACCTTTTATGGCTTAATGGTTTTATTCCATGAAGTTTTCTGACTACCATCATCATCTTCTTCTAAGAAGTCTGTTCTATTTATTTTTTTTTAAGTTTATTTATTTATTTTGAGACAGAGAGACTGCAAGCGGGGGAAACGCAGAGAGAGAGAATCCCAAGCAGGCTCCGCAGGGCCAGCGCAGAGCTCAAGATGGGGCTTGAACTCACAAAACCGAGATCATGACCAGAACGGAAATCAGACACTCAACCAACTGAGGCACGCAGCCACCCAGAAGTCTGTTCTTTTTAGTCACTAGTTACTACCACCATTCAGCATCTAATTACAGTAAATCCTTGGATTGCGAGTAACTTGTTTTGCTAGTGCCACAAGATGAGCAAACATTTCTAATAAATTTTAACTTGATACACGAGTTATGTCTTACACCACAAGTAGTATGTGATGCTGAACATCAGAAGATCACAAGTGAGCCAATGGTTCCTCTCTCTCTCCCTCTCTCTCTCTCTCTGCGGAATTGTGGGTGATAGTCTCCCATGCTTGGATCCCTGGTCTCAGGCCGCGGTGTTTGGCAGAAATCAGTGATTTTTCAGAACGCTGGAAGGTGCCCACAACTGGCACTAGTATATTTTTGTCACTTCAAAGCACCTATGGACAGTCTTTGCTTTTTCATACGAGAGTAAGCTTAGGAATGTTTTGCTTCCTTCTAGGTCAGGCTGCCTGAGATATAGACCCTTTCTTCTCCTGCCTTAGTTCCAGTTATGTTAAATACAGTATATGACAAGAGTTTATTAATATAGTACTGTAGTCAACATCCGTGCAAGCATATACAATGGCCTCCGTGCAGAAAAAGATTCTATTGAGCTAATAGACAGCAGTGATTCCGTTAGTGATAGTCAAAGTCATCCTACACAATAACCCTCCTCTGTCTCATCTCCCTCACACCAGCCACGAAAGTTTTCAAAGCTAAGTGCAGGTTAATTTATTTATTCTTCTTTATATATTGTATTTTCTTTATTATTTTGTATTATATGAGAGTATTGTAATCATTTTTATATGAATATTTTTGGGTTTTGGAACGAATCATCTGAGTTTCCATTATTTCTTATGGGGAAATTTGCTTTGATATATATAAGTGCTTTGGATTACAAGTATGTTTCCAGAACAAATTATGCTTGCAAACCAAGGTTTTGCTGTATTAGAAAACCATGATTTTTCAACTGTCATAGGAATAATTGATTTAGGCAAGGATCACTGGATGCTAAAAGAAGTAAATGAAATGGTGATGAGAAATAGGATATTTACATAGTCTCAAGGTGTCTCCCCCCAAATTATTATAAAGGGAGAAAGAACAACTTCGCAGTGGAGAGCCCAGGCAGACACCACCCTAACAAAGCACTCCAACTTATCTCAAGTCACAGGACAAATAAACATCCTGTACCTCTTTACATAATACACTGCAAAGAACAAAACTTCCCTTCAATGGTATTCCTGCCCAAAATGTATAACCTTAATCTAATCACAAGGAAACATCAGAAGAGCCCAAACAGAGAGGCACTCTACAAAATAACTGGCCTGCACTCTTCAAAAATGCCAGGCCCAAAACAGCAAGAACAAAAAGAGCAAGCCGAGAACATTTTCACAGCAACGAGACTAAGGAAACAGGACAGCCAAACACAGCTCTCTTGCTGCACGAGGCTAGATGAGCTAGATGAGCTCTTGACGCCATTACTGGGATAACTGGCTGAATTTTATGAGGGTCTATGGATCAGTGTAAAATATATGGCTTGTGACAACAGATTGTGTTTATGGGAAAGAATGTCCAAGTACTTAGGAAATACACTATCAAGTATTTAAGGGTAAAAGGGCATGATATCTACAACTTACTCATAATGCTTCAGAAAAAAAAAAAAGTATATAGAAAGTAGATGATAAAGCAAAAGGGGCAAAATATTTGCTAAAATTGGGTAAAGAATATATGGAAATTCCTTACACCATGCTTGCAACTTGTTTCCAACTCTTAAATTATATCAAGATATAAAGATACAACAAATACCCAAAAATATCTGTTTAATAGTGAGTGGGAAAAATCCTAGGTGGAATATGACTAAGGTTTTGTTATACAGTCTGGTGGTTTCAACCACTAACAATTATCAAAATTTATAGTGTCTTCATTTTTAAGTTAATAAATATTTATGAAAATCAGTAACAGTTACCTTTTCCTCTCTTCCTTTATTTTGCTCTTTCTTTTCCCGACAACGAACAGCTTTCCCTCTGTCGTTGTGCAGACTGTGTGCAGATGAACGGTGAACTCTGGCAGTTGTATTTGGTCGATTACTGTGTGGTTTAGGGTCACCGTACTGAGGAGACTGGCGTTTTCTAGGTCCTGGCGAGGGCCTAATTAGACGCAAGATCATGAAAATCATAATGAACCCCTGGAGGTAGTCCAAATATACATGGACACATTATCATGTGTAAGTTAAAGTTTATGAACTAACGAAACCAAGGCAATAACGGAATACAAGCCAGGACTGAATAAATTTAAGTCACTGAAATCCAAGATTTAACGTATAAATCTGGCACAGATTTAACGAGAAGAACAGACTGCAGTATGGTTATATGGTAAAAATAACAGAAGTGATCATCACCTCTCCTTTGAGAGGAAATAACTAGTGTACATCAAGTACTGATGTACTAATGAAAAATTAGTCTGATTCTTTGGAAACTGACAAGACAGCAATCAACGAAGAGTTTTATAAAAAGAACCGAACACAGCAAGTACAGAATTCACATTTATCCACTGGTACATGTGCAAGTTGACACTATTTTTTTCCCTGAGATAGAGCACGAGCAAGTGCATGTGTGCACAAGTACAAGTTGGGGGAGGGGCAGAGAGAGAGAGAGAGAGAGAGAGAGAGAGAGAGAGAATGAATATCCCAAACAGGCTCTGCACTGTCAGCGCAGAGCCCGATAGGGGGCTCCATCCCACAAACTGTGAGATCATGACCTGAGCCGAAATCAAGAGTTGGACACTTAACCAACCAAGCCACCCACCTGTGTGCCCTATGTTGACACTATTTGATTTAGAATATATCATAGTTCTTATATTTTAATAAAATTTCACCATTTTGCTACGGACAGTTACGAGAACTGATGTATAGTGTTTTACATTCACATACGTTGCCTTATGTCACCTTTATTTCTGTGGCAGGATTCATACCTCTCAAATATTTCTCAGGGTCCTACACTTGGTTGGGGCCATTAAAATGAGCAATAGAAAAGGTAAGAGAGGCCGATCCTCAAATACCTCAAGTATAGGTAAGAGATGTGTAAAGCTAGGCAAGCATACCAGAAAGTGTAAAAGAGATCTAGTGCTATCAATGACCTCAAGAAGACCGAAAATAAACTGGGCCTGGAAACACAGGAGATGAACTAAACACAAGGGTATAACTGCAGATAAGAAAATCAGTGTAGAAAAGGAAAGATATCAAAATGAGCATAAGCGGGGTGCCTGGGTGGCTCAGACAGTAAAGCGTCAGACTTTGGCTCAGGTCATGATCTTGCGGTTTGTGAGTTTGAGTCCCACATCGGGCTCTGTGCTGACAGTTCAGAGCCTGAAGCCTGTTTCGGATTCTGTGTCTCCCTCTCTCTCTACCCCTCCCCTACTCATGCTCTTGTCTCTCTCTGTCTCAAAAATAAATAAAACATTAAAAAAAATTTTTTTTTAAATGAGCATAATTTAGGTAAAGGATTCTAAAGACACTAACCATAAAAACAATGGTGAGCATTCAGAGATGATACTGAACAGAGAAGGTGGCTCAGTAAGTAGGAAATCTGAATACCAGTTCAAGAGGCTTGGCTCTTAGCTAAATGCTGCTGATAAGGTTTTAGAATGACAAGTCTAGTGCTGTATAAGATACGCTGATAAAGGAAACAGAAAGCAGGGAGATATGGGCAGGTTACAAGTGTCATTGAGGCGTGAGGCGAGGGCCTAGCTTAAGGCAGTAAGCAAGAAGAGTCCAAGAGATGTACTTGGATACTCCTAGACATGGAAAATTGAGAATGAGGATTTGACAGGATAAAAAAGCCAAACCAATGTGGAAGGAATGACGGGGGTTCAATTTTGGATTTAGACACCTGGATGGCCAAGTGGAGATATTTCTTTAAAACATGTATTTATTTCTCCCTTACTAGAAAAATAATATAAAACAGAAAACTGAGATATAATCAACTATAAAGAATAAAGGTCACCTGTAACCCCATTATTCGAAGTTAGCCACTTAACATATTAGTTTACCGTCTTATAGTTGCCTTTTATTTAAACAAAACAGGAACCAATGTACACACGTGCACTCGTATTTTCTCTCCTCATATCATAAGACATTTCCTGTATCATCACCTCATAAATGGCTTTTAATGACTAGATGGCAATTACGTATAAAGTGTACCACATTTTATCCACTTCTTACTGCTAGCTATTCTTTCATCCAAAATACAATTTACTGAACTATTACTATTGATAGGCACTACTCTATGTATTAGGGATAAAGCATTTATATAAGTTTAATAAAACCTTTACTCTTATAGACTTACATACGTGTGTATGTGTGTGTGGAGAAGGGGCATCAATGAAGATATGAACAGTACGTCAGACGATGCTAAGTGCTATCAAGAAAAATAAAGAAGGGTAGGGGCTGTGATTGGGGAGCGGTGGAATTTCAGGTAGGAGATCTGCTCAGAGACCTTCCTGAGGTGACATTTAAGTCGAGACCCGAAGGAAATGAAGAACAAGTCATAAACATCTGAGCTGAAGAAAAGGCAAGTGCAAAGAACTGAAGCATCTGCGTGTGTGACTTGCTCGCAGAGGAAGACACTTGTAAGAACTGAGGTCCTAGAGGTAGGGAAACAAGACTCATGTGCTGTTGAAGGATATGATGAAGACTTTGGGTTTTATTGTGAGATAAGAAAATATTTGAGGGATACTAGCTAGCTTTAAAAGGTTTTAAATTATATTTTATTTTTTAAAGTGTATTTATTTGGAGGGAGGGAGGGAGGGAGGGAGAGAGAGAGAGACACACACACTAAGGAAAGGCACAGAGAGTGGGAGACAGAGAATCCCCAGCAGGCCCCATGCTGTCAGCGCAGAGACCGATGCTGGGCTCAATCCCACGAACTGTGAGATTGTGACCTGAGCCCAAATCAAGAGCCAGACACTTAACCAACTGAGCCACCCAGGTGCCCCTACTTTTTATTTTTTAGAAAGAAAGAGTGCATGAGTTAGGGAGAGGGGTAGAGGGAGAGAGAAAATCTTACGCAGGCACCACACGGAGCTCAATCCCACAACCATGGGATCACGACCTGAGCCAAAATCAAGAGCTGGATGCTCAACCAACTGAGCCACCCAGGCGGCTCTATTAACTGGCTTTTAAAAAATATTTAAAAAAAAATCACATTTATAGCTTTGAAGCTATTTCTAATCTTTGCTCTAAAAGGCTCAGTGGGGGCGCCTGGGTGGCTCAGTCGGTTGAGCGTCCGACTTCGGCTCAGGTCACGATCTCGCGGTCCATGGGTTCGAGCCCCGCATCGGGCTCTGGGCTGATGGCTCGGAGCCTGGAGCCTGCTTCCGATTCTGTGTCTCCCTCTCTCTCTGCCCCTCCCCCGTTCATGCTCTGTCTCTCTCTGTCTCAAAAATAAATAAAACGTTAAAAAAAAAATTAAAAAATAAAAAAATAAATAAAAGGCTCAGTGAACCTCCTTGTGTCAACATTTCTGCGTACAACCATAGAAGAGAAAACTGGATCAACTGAATCGGTTCTTAAATGGACTAAAATCTAGCTGATGACAAGAATCACCAACAGAGTTCAAGAAAGAACAAGCTCTCTTAAGCATAAGTACAAATGAAGGCTAACAAAAAATAGGTTTGAAGGACAGTCAGTTGAGGGAGCAAGTAAAATAAACTCCAGGAAGAAACAAAGATGCAGCAAATAACGTCAAAGGAGAAATTTACAGGGGCGCCTGGGTGGCTCAGTCGGTTAAGCGTCCGACTTCGGCTCAGATCACGATCTCACGCTTCATGAGTTCGAGCCCCGTGTCAGGCTCTGTGCTGACAGCTCAGAGCCTGGAGCCTGCTTCAGATTCAGCCTGCTATGATTTGTTCTACTGCTTCAGATTCTGTGTCTCCCTCTCTCTCTGCTCCTCCCCTGCTCATGTTCTGTCTCTCTCTCTCTCAAAAATAAAATAAACATTAAAAAAAATTAAAAATATGGGGTACCTGGGTGGCTCAGTCGGTTGAGCAACTGACTTCGGCTCAGGTCATGATCTCACGGTCTGTGAGTTCAAGCCCCACGTCAGGCTCTGGGCTGATGGCTCAGAGCCTGGAGCCTGCTTCCGATTCTGTGTCTCCCTCTCTCTCTGCCCCTCCCCTACTCATGCTCTGTCTCAGAAATAAACATTAAAAAAAAATTTTTTTTTAATTAAAAATAAATAAATAAAGGGGGGTGTGTCTGAGTTGCTCAGCTGGTTGAGAGTCCAACTCTTGATTTTGGCTCAAGTCGTGATCCCAGGGTTGTGGGATCAAGCCCCACATTGGGCTCCGTACTGCGCATGAAGCCTGCTTCTTTCTCTCTCTCTCTTTCTCTCTCTGTCCCTCTCCCCAACTCATGCTCTCTCTCAAAATAAAAAAAACAAAACATTGAAATCAACTAAATTTTCACTGGGCACATGTATTCATTGGAAAGTTCTTACCAATGACTGAGAGATGAGTTACAGGGCTGTTATGGACTGAATGTTTGTGCCCTCCCCCACTTCATTATGTTAAATCCCTCACTCCCAATGAAACCATTTAGGGTACAGGATTAATTACAGTTGGGGGTGCCTGGCTGGCTCATTCAGTAAAGCATGTGACTCTTGATCTCAGGGTTGTGAGTTCAAGCCCCACACTGGGCGTGAAGCCTACTTTAAAAAAAAAAAAAAGTTAACTAAAGCCTTGATGTGAGGACTGTGTCCTTCTAAGAGACACAGAGAGTTTGCTCATTCCCTCTGCCATGTAAGCACAGAGAGAAAGCAGCTGTCTGCTTAGGAAGAGTCTTCACCAGGAACCAAACTAGCTAGCACTTTGATCTTGGACTTTTTAGCCTCCAGAACTGTGAAAAATAAAGAAATAAATTTCTGTTAAGTCATCCAGTCTGGGGTAATTTGTTATGGCAACACGAACAGACTAATAATACATGGGCCAAATGATGATTCTCCAGAAAAAGGAAAGAAAAAAGAAAGTAAATAGAAGTAAAACATATTTCTAGGCAAGAAAAAATAAAAACGCAACTTGACTCAGCTATGATTTGTTCTACTGAAATTAAGAAAAAGGTAATCATAAATGTAGAAAAAGATTCACCCACAAATATTGACTTTATAATAACAAAAAGGGGAAAACAACCAATAAGAACATGGTTAACTATGTAGATTATACATAACCCTTTAAAACCAAAATATAACAGAAAAATAGTACAAATAAGTGCTTATGAGCAAAGGAAAAATTTAGTAAATATTAAAAAGTGAGTTGGGGCGCCTGGGTGGCTCAGTCGGTTAAGCAGCTGACTTCGGCTCAGGTCATGATCTTGCAGTCCGTGAGTTCGAGCCCCGCGTTGGGCTCTGTGCTGACAGCTCAGAACCTGGAGCCTGTTTTGGATTCTGTGTCTCCCTCTCTCTGACCCTCCCCCGTTCATGATCTGTCTCTCTCTGTCAAAAATAAATAAACGTTAAAAAAAAAAATTAAGTAAAAAGTTATGAGTCAATAACACAATATTAGTACTTTTACCTGGAGCTGAGGAAAATTAAAGTGGCGGTACCCATTAGCTGATCATACAGTGGAAAGGGAGCATTGTGGCATGTGCTTCTCAAAGTGTGACCCATGGACCACTAGTATGATGTGGATGTTGTTGGATGTGTTGGATGTGTTTTTACAAACTGCGGTTTGTGGCAACCTATCAAGTCCGTTGGTGCCATTTTTCCTACAGCATTTGCTCATTTTGTGTCTCTGTGTCACATTTTGGTGATTCTTGTAATGTTTTAAACTTTCTCATTATTATTAGATTTGTTATGGTGATCTGTGATCGGAGATTATAACTTGTTGAAAGCTCAGATAACGGTTACCATTTTTTAGCAACAGAATATTTTTATTTTATTAAGTGTATTTATTTATTTAGAGAGGGAGAGCATGTGGAATGGGCAGAGAGAGAGAGACACAGGAAGAGAGAGAGAGAGAGAGAGAGAGAGAGAGAATCCCAAGCAGGCTCTGCAGAGCCCCATGCGGGGCTTGAACTCACAAACTGCGAGTTCATGACCTAAGCCAAAACCAAGAGTCAGATGCTTAACCAACTGAGCCACCCAGGCACCGCAGCAATAAAGTATTTTTCAATTAAGGTATGTACATTGTTTTTTTAAGACATAATGCTATTGCACACTTAACAGATTACAGTATAAACATAACTTTTATATGCACTGGGAAACCAAAATATTTATGTGACTTTGTTGAACCCACAACTATCTCCTAGGTATGCCCGTATTTTATCAGACTCTCAGGAGTGAACACCCAGCATCTACATTTTAATGAGTTTCCCAACAGATCTTAGGTATACTAGAGTTTGAGAATAAGTGGTATGGCAGAGAATTCCAGCTTTGTAATCAAATATATCTGGGTTCAAACTCTAGCTCCACCAATTATTAGCTTTGTGATAATGGGAAAAAGTTATCTGACTGCACTGTACTTCAAGCTATCTTATCTAAAATACAAAAAAAAGAACATGGCTTATTTGAAAGGCTAACTGTGAATAAATGAAATGACATGTGTAGTCTCTAATAGTGGTTAGGACACGTGAGCACTCAATATCTAACACCTATTGTAAAATAGAATCAAGAATTGAGAGTTACAATGACAACGTGAAACTGAAAAACATCTGAGCAATGTCTTAGTGCAAGGTTCTCAAACTGATTAGGAGGCAAAGAATCTGCAAGTTGGTGTTCTTTACAGAATGCTATATTTGCATATTTAAACCCACAATACAAACTAGGAAATCTATTATGTCAGTGAAACAGACAAGTGATATCCATTAAAAAATGTGCAGTGAAACTAAGCACAACTGGCTGTGTAGAGCATTCCGGAAATATCACCACTAAAGTGATATTGGCCAGCTACAGGTAATAGGAACCTGGGGGGAAAATGTCAAAGAGAAACCTAAAATAGAGAACATTTTATTTATTTATTTATTTATTTATTTATTTATTTATTTATTTATTTATTTATTTTCTGTGAATCAAAAAGCCCATTTTGGGGCACCTGGGTGGCTCAGTAGATTGAGTGTCCAACTTCGGCTCAGGTCACGATCTCATGGTTTGTGAGTTTGAGCCCTGCATTGGGCTCACTGTTGTCAGCACGGAGCCCCCTTTGGATCTTCTGTCCCTTCTCTCTCTGCCCCTCCCCGCTTGCACTCTCTCTCAAAATTAATCTTAAAAAAAAAAACAACTCATTTTTCGGGGTGGCTCAGTTGGTGAAGCATCTGACTCTTGATTTTGGCTCAGATCATGATCTCACGGTTCACGAGCTCAAGCCCTGAGTCAGGCTCTGCACTGACAGTGTGGAGCTTGCTCGGGATTTTCTCTCTCTCTCTCTCTCTCTCTCTCTCAAAATAAATAAATAAACTTTAAAAAATTTATTAAACTATTTTTTTAAAAAGCCCATTTCTCATTTTAGCAATTTTGATGAATAGAAATATTCTGTGATAGCCTATTTGAGAACCACTGCTTTAATCTAACTTCCTCACTTTACATAAGAAAAATTAGAGGCCTAGAAAAGGTTACATGCTTTTCCCAAAACTACAGAAAGTGGAAAAGATAGAATGAGAGCCCAGATATTTCAGTTCCCAGCCCCATGCTCCTTCCCTCAGATAATGTCTCCACTATTATAAGCTCATTCACAAAAGCATGTTTTCGGCTTATTCCCACCTAAGTTCAATTTATTGATATAGGTCATATAGGTCACAGTTAGATGAGCCATAGTATAAGCGCTATAAAAGGCATTCAGTAAAAAATGCTCTCCTGTTCCTGTCTCCCTGCCACCTAGTCCTCCTAGATGTGACCAATGTTGTCAGTTTCCTATGCTAATTTGTTTCTTAAAAGGTGTCTACTTACCTTCGTTCAACAGGTACAGGCAGGGACCAGACCTCCCCCTCGGACGCTGGAAGCTCGTGTTGGGCAGCTTTCAGTGGAGTGTGGTCTAGTTTAAAGCTCTCCAGTGTCTTCATGATATCTTTAACATGCTTAGCTTCCACATTTATTTCCTGCCAAACCTGGTTTCAACGGAGAATATGACTCTTTATATCTGTAACTGATAATTCACTGCCAAGATTAAACTAGGGCCATTTATTACAGATGTTAGAAACCTCCATTTTGACATCAGCTATACTGTAAATCACACCCAAATATTCTGTCAAAATTTTAAGAATGATTAAGTTTTTGTTTTCAACTGCAAGACAAAATGAATTAAATATTCTGAATAATTAAGCCCCGTTCCTGACTTATGATTCATATTCAAATTACATAACAAATTGACGATAGCTATAACTTTCTTTTTGGAAAGTTTGAATAATACTTTTCTAAGTTGATTCTCTAATGGTTTTCATGGTATGTGACTGACTCTCAAAATGGTGATGAGAATGCACTAATTTCATAAATCATTAATGGATTGCAACCCACAGTTTGAAAAATATGGCTTCAGATGAAAATGGCCCAATTCACACACAACCAAGATTGTTTTAAGCATTGCTGATTCAATTTAAAAACAACATACACAAAATATTGAAATAAAGTTGGTAATGTTTTGTTTTAAAACTAAACGAGGGGTACCAGGCTGGCTCAGTTGGTAGAGCGTGTGACTCTCGATTTCAGGGTTGTGAGTTTGAGCCCCATGTTGGATGTAGAGATTACATAAAAATAAAAAAGTCTTTTAAAAAACAAAGCTAAATGATTTAGTATCTTTACAAAAAAAAGGCTCAGACTTTTAAAATAAAAGTCTCCAGCCTACAGAACAAAAATCTTTCAGTGACAAACTTAAGACTCTATGAAATAAACTATTTTCCTCTTCTGGTAATGTAAGGAACATGCAGACAGATTTAGGGGAAAAGGTTTAAGTTCAAAGAGGTAGGATACTTCTCTCTTTTAAAGAAATTAAGGACAAGTATGGAATACTATCAAAGAAGCAGTTTAGTAGAATCTGAGGGAAATATTCAACCGAGAAGACCACCTCAAAAAGACTATTAAATTCTGTCATATTTTTTTCCTCTGTGATAAAGTTGAACCTTGTTAGAAATGCCACCTTCAAGTGGACTTATAACTTCTACACTTTCCACCTGTAAATTTCTATTGATCCTCAGTGACTAACATTCCTCACATGGGATTCAAATATAGTCTGCTTCCTAACAGTCTACAGAAAGTACGGTACCCATGAGATCTGGGTGCCATCTGCAGTTTCAACAATGGCTTAATAAAGTCCATTCTAATTTTACCAGGTAAAAGGTAAAAAATGTGATTTAGAAAAAAAGGTCAAAATTATTTCTTTCATCTATTAGATTCCAACAACTATAATTGAGAACTCATAATACCGATGATGGTGAATATAGACTATTACTAATATAAAAAAAAAAATTCAAGTAACATTGTATACAAATCCATGTAACAAATCACTCTTCATGTATAACTGCAAAAAGCCCTGACAACCTCCACGTCTTCTCTTCTGAGTACTTACACCATTAAAACATACAGCAGCCACGATTCTCACCTGTTGCCATTTCTGCTGGAGATAGGTATCTTTGACTGAATACAGATACTTGTTCATCTGGTCAAGAACTCCCTGGTAATAGACCATGGCAGAGTCATAGTTCCCCAGCAATGCATATTCACGAGCCAATTTTACATTCTCACTAATCATGAGAAGACTCATGCTCAATTGTAAGCTAAAAAAAAAAAAGAAAAGAAACATTTTCACAGGTCTCTGAAAAATAAGTTGCAACACAGAGTTTCTTTCAAGTATACTTTCCAGGGCTCTGTCAACATGCTCACAATCACACACACTGCGCTGTCCATCTCTGTATTTGCTCGTGCCATTTCCACTCCTTCAAAGAAGTTTCTAGGTTCCCATGGGGAAACGAACCCTGATGTGTCAAAGCCCAGCTCAGAGGGCAGTTCTCCCAGTCTGTCTGCCCTCTGAACTTCTCAGTTTGAAATAAACTCTCCGCCTTCTAATGCCCCCTGGCACTTTACTGGGACCTTTCATAGCAAGACATGTGCCTACTCTGAATTACAGTTACTGATATATTTCTTATCTTTTCTTGGAGAGCAGGATTTATATCTGAAAGATGTGAGACTATCCTCAGTGCATGACATGCAAGTGTTACTGAACAAGTGCAGAGCAAGTGCACAATGTCAGACAGTTTTGGAAGGTGGTTTGAAAACATGTGTTTTGAAGTTAGAACAATCTTGGTTAGAATTCTAATTCTGACACCTTGGTCAAATCCTTTAACGTTTCTAAGCTTCAGTTTTTCAATATGTAAAACTGAGATAGTACTACTTCCCAAGACGTGCACTATAAGGAATAAATGACTATTTAAAGTATCTAGCATACTACTTGGCAAATAATAGGATGTCAACCTTCCCTGCATCTTCCCTAAAACTATCTCTATCACAGTCTCTGTATTAGTAGGATATGGATATATGGATGTGGCTATAAAGCATCAGAAGTAGGTGCTCGGTAAACGTCAGCTTCGTTGATGTTGACAATAATTGCTATTACTAACTGCATATAGCATGGTGTAGTTCAAAGTAAGTTAGGGTAGTGGCTCTCAAAATAAAAAGAAATTTGAAACGCACGGTGAAAGAACTGCTCTGAGTTCAAATGAATGAAGTTCCAAGGCTGTGGAACTAGAAAATACAGGAAAGCTGAGAAGAGACAGATGTGTGAAGGAAACGAGATGATTTTTTTCTGACTCCTTTTGTCAGTGGGCTACTCAAACAGCTGTGTCTCACAGATGAACAGAGATGACTTCAATGTGGGGCCCTCTCTAGCTAGCCTAATCTAGCCAGAGGCTTTCTTAAAATTGTGGTTTTGACCCCTCCCTTCCCCACCCCACCTATGGGTCAAGTGACGCAACAGAGCTTAAGTCTGATAGAGACCACTATGGCTCTTGTGTTATTATTTAAATTCTCTAATCGGGGATGAGGTTTTGTGAAAAAGCATGCCAAGCAAAATTCTTGAGTTTAATTTAGTGCAGACTGTTTAGCTAGTGTGCAGAGCAAGGAGAATGATGGCAGACCAACCAGGAATATCTAACAAACACTACATTACACACAGGACTAGAAAGATTTCCTGCCAAATAGACAAGAGAAGGTAATCAAACCCACACAGCCGGAATTAGAGGACTGTATAAAGCAAGATTAACAGGAAATATTGCCAGGCAGAAAAGTTAAAAACCAGCACTGCTATCTACAGCAGGGCAGAAAAGGGAGGACACTTGCTCCCTAGGACAGAGATTACAGGGAGATGGGATCACCTCAGTGGAGACGCAGGGTTGTCAAAATCACACCAAGAGCCTCAGGCTTCCATTCCCGGCCAGTCTTTGGCAGTTCGCAGTCTCTAACCAGCAAAAGGCACAACTGTGGGGGCACCCAGGTGCTCAGTCAGTTAAGCATCTGACTTCGGCTCAGGTCATGATCTCACAGTTCATGAGTTCGAGCCGCACACAGGGCTTTCTGCTCTCAGTACGGAGCCTGGGTGGGATCCTCGGTCAACCTC